TATCTCATGTAATCATGTAGGATAAAGAGCGGTTGTTGTATAACCATCTATTAGGAGATAGAGGTTCATAAGAAACCTAAGAAAGGCATGTAAATATTATAGCTGATAAAGAGAATTAGAGAATCAAAGAGATGGGCTTATCAGAGGCCTTAAGCCTGTGTATCTGCTCTCTCTCTCTCTCTCTCTCTCTTCCTATCATAAAATGATAGAAGAATCCTCGATAAACTTGTTGAGCACAACCTCAACAATTCGTACTATGATTCTTGTCAGATAGAGCATAATGACATTGTGCAATCATGCCTAGTTTATTGTTGTTGTGGTGTAACTATCTGTTAGGAGATAAAGGGAAACCTAAGAAAGGGCTTGGAGCTGCATGAAAATATTATAACTGATGATAAAAGTGTGTATATATTAATTGTTGCAGGTTTCGAGATCCATAGGAGATGCATATCTGAAGAGGGCAGAGTTTAACAAAGAACCACTTCTGGCGAAATTTAGGGTATCAGAGCCCTTTGAGAAGCCGATCCTGAAAGCAGAACCAACGATAAGTGTGCAAAAACACCACCCAGATGATCAGTTCATTATATTTGCGTCAGATGGCTTGTGGGAGCACTTGACCAATCAAGAAGCTGTTGAAATCGTGTACAACTATCCCCGCAATGTACGCTTCATTGGTTCATTAATTGATTTCCAATTCACTCATTCCACTTTCTCTTTAATTTGATATTAATTACTTCCAGTTTATTTAATTTGATACAAGCATCTATCATTACCCATTTGAGCCCACACCCTTCAGCAATTAGACCATAATTCTGTAGAGAGTTAGAAAATGATAAAGATAGTCCAATATTATTTAAGGTGCGGTAGTGATAACAAAGAGCAATAAATAATAGACACCACATCTCAAATCAAAACTTTGAGATTTAAGTTTACGAGTTTTATTATCTATTCCTTCAGTTCTAAATGTAAAATTCATTTTGTAGTATAATTACTTATTAAGCTCAATTTTATCTGAAATGAACAATCTCTCCTCATCATGTGAGTCTGTTAGCTACTCTTCCACATTCAAAAACGCTACAAACGCAAATTTCATGTTTTTGCAATCAAGGCTAGCTAGGGCTATTCCCATTTTAGGCTTCACACATGTTCACAATTACATAATTCCAATGACGTCTTTTTCACACAAGTCCTAGTTAAAACCTAGTTCTAATGCCACTTATTATTAGAAATAAGGAGTCAAACCCAAAAGCAGGAGGAAACATATGGGCCAATTAAGGTTCAAGTTTATAGATCGTTTCGCTTTATTATATATTACTACCTCTTATCTTTAATACAAAAGCTAATTTAACTTTCAATTTGGTCCTAAATATAAGACCCTAATCCACTTTATTTTTTATATTTATCTATTTTTCTCAAGATAATCCTTATAATGGTTGCATATGTTAAATATTTCATCAAATAGTAGTTCTAGCTAATATACATAATTAGTAAAGTTATCTTAGAAAAAATAATGCCTATTTATTATGAATAACTAATTTAACAAACTTCCTTAATCTACTTAAAATAGTCAAATAGCTCTTATAATAAGGACTGAAAACAGTACTTATTAATTACTAATTAGCTTTAACTTCCATATGATCATCATCTCAAGTCCACCCAAACTTGAATATTCTAACAGTTGTTTATTCAAAATGAACTAATAAATTGTTAATACCCACACCCATCTCCATCTCATCAAGCTTACTACGTACAGGGAATAGCTCGGAGGCTGGTGAAAGCGGCGCTGTGTGAGGCGGCGAAGAAGAGAGAGATGAGATACTCAGACTTGAAGAAGATAGAGAGAGGAGTGAGAAGGCACTTCCATGACGACATAACTGTCATTGTTTTGTATTTGGATTAATTATCTTCTCTCATCACTCGCCACACTAGGGGTGTTCAAAGCCGGCCCGTCCCGGTCGGCCCGTTCCGGTCCCGGTCTTATTGGGACGGGACGGATCCGTCCCGAAATTTTTCGGGACGGGACAAACCGGGACGGGACAAAAAAGGGACCGGGACGGGACGGGACACGGGACGGGTCGTCCCGTCCCGGTCCCGTCCCGGTCCCTTTTTTAAAAAAAAAAATTAATTTTTTTAACTTTTTATAATATCATTTTTTTCATATTTTTTTAAGATTTGAGACTATTGTATAGAACTATGGATATATTTATTTAGAGTTTTATATTTGTTAATGATTTGAGATTATTGATGATTAGATTTTTTAGCAAGTTTTTATTGTGTTAAAAGCTTTTGTTTAGAGTTTTTAATAACTATTATATGTAATATTTTGAGCTTTTGTTTAAGAGTGCCCAAACAAATAAAAAGATGTTTTTATAAGATTTAAGCTCAAAAAAATATAATTAAAAAAATCAGATTTTTTTAAAAAAAATTAAAAAAATTAAAAAAAATTAAAAAAAATTAAAAAAAAATATTTCGGGACGTCCCGGTCCCGTCCCGGATCCGTCCCGTCCCGACCGGGACCGGGACAACCCCGGGACGGGCCGGGACACGGGACAGAAAATCTGTCCCGTTACTGTTCATCGGGACGGAACCGGGACAGGCCTGTCCCGGTCCCGATCCGTCCCGTGAACACCCCTACGCCACACCACTTCCCTGTCTCCTCCACTAGCTAGTACTCATTCTCGTCAATTCTGATTTATTTCTACTTCTATTCAAACTTCTCTTCTTTAATTTCTTTCTTTCTTCAAATATCGATATTTGTAATAGAGAAATAAAAAAACAAATAAAAAAGTCCATTCTTTTTCTTTTTGTGTGCGCGCTTTTTTTTTTTAAAAAAAGAAATCATATATTAAGAGGGTTCAAATTAAAACGTAGTGGACTTTAATCATATCCCATGCCATATATTTCAACCATATAAAAAGATTGACATTTGGTACTTTTCTAAGTACTTTCTCTAGTTTGTAATAGAATTAATATCATTTTTAGTTCTTGAAATTTGATCTCATTTTAGTTTTATTTTATCAAATTTGAAACCAATAGTTTTGGTTCTTAAGATTGACAATATAATACTACTTCCGGTCCTAATTATAAGACCCAATTGACTAATTTGGAGAGATTAAAGAACTTAGTTGAGTTAGTTATTTGTAATGAATAGGTGTTGTTTTTCCTAAAATATCCTTGCTAGTCAAGTTTGTTATCTATAACTACTATTATTAGAAAGACTATCATGAAAAAAAGTAGATAAATATGATAGACAAAGTAGATTGAAGTCTTATATTTAGGACCAAAATAAAAATCAAATAGGATCTTATAATAAGGACCGGAGGTAGTATCAATTAGCATTACTTAATTAATATTCTATTTGGTCCAAAATATAAAACATTTCTAGCTACCAGCTAGTATATACTTGGTTCAAAATGTAGGATACTTTGGGGAAAATGTCAATAATATTAATTTTTTTCACAGATGCCCGTATTAATTGTATTATATAAAAAGAGATTATATAGGAAAGAAATTAAAGATAATTAAAACCGATTGATTTTAATCGAAGGATAATCTTAAAAGGTAGTGATTGCTTTGTAATATTTTAATGATACAAACCACTTGCTTATTTGAATCTTGCAATGCAATGGAAGATTTTAATGAGAGGATGTTAAAGTTAAACGACGATATCTTAGTTGATATAATGTTAAAGTTAATTAACTTATACAAACCGATATGATTAGTTATTGTCCTTAAAACATTTTGATCTTTGCAAATATAGCCTTCATTAAATATAATTAACTCCCTGCTAAATTAAAGGGGATGAAGTAATTCTTTTTTCATTTGTCAGGAATATTTTTGAAAAACAAACATATTAATTATTCTCAACATCCCATAAATTAAAATACTACCTTCAGTCTTTAATATAAGACTTTGTTTGACTTTTATTTTAGTCTTAAATATAAAACCCCAATCCATTTTGTCTCTAATATTTATGTATTTTTTCTAACAATGGTAGTTCTAACCAATATATTTGATTAGTAAGGATATTTTAGAAAAGACAACACATATTTATTACAAATAACTAACTTAACTTCATTCTTTAATCTCCTCAAATTAGTCAACTAGTTCTTATAATTAAGACCGAAAGTAGTACCTTATAAATTGAATCATAAAACCTTAAACAATGCTTTAGAATAATAAAAGTGGAGGGGGTAATATATTTTGCTTTAATTAAAAATCTCTTAATTTAGGTTCCATAACCTTGCATAACAAGTCAATAGTAATTTTGGAATTTGTGTATGGATTTTATGGTTGAAGGTGGTATGAATTATAGTGGACTTCAAATTCTCTGATTTGATGATATCATAAGATAGAAGTGAAAAAGTCAAACCAATCAAGCCTTTGCTATACAATACCGTTCAACTGCAAAGTGCTGACCACCAAAGTGAACTTGTCGTCACTCATTCATTCAAATTAGCAATAATATATTCCCTCGAATCGTATGTACAGGTTACAATTTTAAAAAATAAGGCTGATTAATTCTTTTATAAGTTAATTATACCTTATATCTGAAGTTTAACTAATCATTTTTTTCTGTTTTTACCTCCATTAAAGACACGTCTCTGTTGCAGGTCAATATTATTACTCATTCTCTCTCATTTACTTTCTCCATAAATAAAGGGTATATTTAAAAAAAATACATTTTTTACACATCTATTGCTTTTAACTGAATTTAGGCAATTTTTTTATCCGCATGGTTCGAAGGGATTGGTAATTTCACCGGATTGTCCAAGAGGGCCAAGATATATATGGCAGAGAGTTGAACTTCTTGGTGGTTGTTACAGCGGATTAGTGAATATCTATGATGTTTCGCACCTAATATCTTTACGTAAAGAGGGCAAAATAATTAAATAAATAAATAAATAGAAGTTAGGTGATCTAATCAAGAGCAACCCTTAGGTATTTAAATGGGGCTCATTTGTGTTTACCTGCTGCTAATTCATCAAACAAAGTAGAATTCTGATAAAGCCAAAAAATTTATGTTAAACATGGCAAAGCTGATGATGATTGTGGCTTTTGTTGTTCATTTGGCTTTTGTTATTATTATGAAATGCTCAGCCACCACCTACTATGTTGGAGACAACTCAGGTTGGGATATCAGTACCAATCTGGGTACCTGGATTCAAGATAAGAAATTCAAGGCCGGCGATGTTCTTAGTAAGTATATTATTGCTTAATTACTTTGTTCTTATATATAGGCACCAGATTAAAATTCTATTTTCATATACTACCTCTGGTCTTTAATATAAGATCTCGTTTAACTTTTATTTTGGTCCTTAATATAAGACTTCAATTCACTTTTTCTCTCATTTATCTTTTTTTTTTTCAAGATAGTGTTTCTAATGATGGTAGTTTTAGCCAATACACTTTATTAATAAGGATATTTTAGGAAAGACAATGCATTTATTATAAATAACTAATTTAACTTATTTCTTTAATCTACTCAAATTAGTCAACTAACTCTTATATTTAAAACTGAAGGTAGTATTAATTACTGAATTCCAAATCTGCCCTTTATTTACAAATCTTGTTTTTTAAAATTTAGCTTCTATCCACCATTAAGAACTGCTAAACTGAGAGTTTATCTATCCATCAGGAAGAAACGTTGTTTTTCTTCTTTATTTTGATATCTTCACCAAATAATAAACATTAAAATCTTGAATGTACGTCACAAAAATACACCCTAAAGATGATTATTTTTCTTTCAGCCGTCGAAATTTTGTGGTTCAATTTGAATAAATAAAAATGAAATATTGTTATTCTATTTTTGCAGTTTTTCAATATTCTTCGTCTGATAGTGTCGATGAAGTTACAAGAGAAAACTACAAGACATGCAACACAAACAAGGTTTTGGCAACTTATGGCAATGGAAACACCACTGTGCCATTAACAAGACCTGGAGACAGGTATTTTGTGAGTGGCAACAAACTGTATTGCCTTGGAGGTATGAAGCTCCATGTTCATGTCGAAGGTAATGGCACCAGTTCCCTGGCTCAGGCCCCGGCTAGGGCAATGCCAGTGGCCGGTCCGACCAGCGCCACCTCCGGCCTTCCGGGGAAGACTACAGCATCGTCCCAGAAACACACTCCTCTGACAAGTGGGTCTAAGAATGTTGGTGTGGACACTAATGTTCAGTTGGTTTGCGTTGCTCTCATGGTGGCTTCTATTTCCTGGATTTTCCAGATTTGAGTATTGTGATAACTTAATTATGACTTTATTTGAGTGTAATATTGTTTAACTACACAATAATAATGATTTGCAGTTGGAAGGCTGACCTACCCTTCGAGTTTTACCATGATTTAAAAATTATTTTAAAAAATATCGTGTATACATTATACATCTTGGGAATTTACATTACTACTATTTTTGAAGTCAGTGATTTTCTGGATGCAATAAAGATATTTAAATTCCCTATTATTTTAAAGTAAAAACACTGATGTATTATAACGTTAAAAAAATAATGACTCGAAAAACCTAATAATAATACAATAGATAGAATGTCACATTCTTCAATTCAGTAGGAATCAATTTCTAGTACTGAAGAACAAATGAGTTAATATTGCTGCTCCCAATGACAAATCTTCCTTTAAACAAATCCATTGATGTGATAAAATAGGTACATGGGCACAACAGAAAAACATTTGTTCCCTTTCAAATTAAAGAAACAATTAAAAAAAAAACCACAACATCAAATATTAGTATAATCTATTTCTTATGGAAAATAATATCCTCAAATGTCACCAAAACTTCAAACCCACCCTACAGAAGAACTAACAAGCTAAGTGCCCAAAATCGCCACTGTACAAGTTATGTTAGCTCATACCTTGCATAAACTATGTCTTCAATTCTGTGCCAAAATGCCAAATATACTAAATACTATTCAAGCTGAGGGGCAGCGTTGTCCTATACAAAAACAAAACCTCCCTCTAGGCCTCCAATTGTAAGACGAAAAGCTGGCCCAAAAGGAACACAAGGGTATTGATCCTACCATTAACAATCTGGCATTCAGTGAAATAATAGTGTGTTATGAAGTCATTCAGATGTAATACTAATACCCCTTTCTTTTGCTGCTTCAATAACATCGCCTGCCTCTCCAAAAACCTTGTATAGGTTGCAGAAGGATTTCCACAACCTTACAGAGAATGGATACACTGTTAAAGCCCTTCTATAAAACCTCAGAGAAATGGCCTCAATGCCCATAACGTCATCCAGCAACAACCCAGCTTCCACCCAGATGTACTCTGGGGGTATTGGGATGGCATCTAAAATTGCATTGACCATAGCTGAACAAGCCCAGTACAACAAACTAGCTGAAGTTTGATCAGCATCAGCAGAATTGAAGCCTTTGCTCAAAAGCTTGCAGACAGAAATTGCTAATTGGAAATTGGAGGGAACCACCTCCAAGATGGCTTCAACAAAATCCACCAGTTCTTTTGGATCACTGAATGTTTGAGGTAAAAGTGATGAACCATACCAAGACTGAAGAACCAAGTTTATCACAGAATAATCAATTGAAACTGGACTTAGTAAGTTACTCATAAGCTGCTGGACTCGAGGCTTCTTGACGTCGTCAAAAAATTTTCTTGTCATCAGCTTGGGAGCCATAAAATTCTGAAAGACGCTATCATTATACATCTCCAAAATTTTCTTGATGCCACCATTAGGACCATTATCTTTTAGGCATGAGGCATCAATAAGCAAAAACATTGCATGCTTTCTCATTCCATTATCTAAAGCTCCGAAATTGGTAGCTTCCCTTGCCTTGTCAATTGCTATGCAAGCTCCTGTTTCATCATCCTGAAAAAATTTATAGAGAGAGAGATTAAGGAATCCAAACATTACATCCATCTGGCTAAGACCAGAGCTTGCAGTATCTGGAAATGATTTAGAATCAACTCCCAAAGAACTGGAAGAATGATCACAATATGTGGCGTCCGTTTCTGCATCATGGGATTCCTGAACTTGCCAAGCAGATTGAAACCATCGGACTGTAATTTCTTTAGCAAAATCAATTCTTCCATCCTGGATAGCATTTTCAATGTATTGATTCCAGATGCATTGGATTCCAGGAATTTTTTTCGGCCACCTGCTAATGGCTTCCTCAAATCCCATGAAAGTATCAATCCCATTCTCCTGTTTCTGTATATGAATTGATTCTAAAACCAACTCAATGCTGCAAGGGTACAACTTGACATATTTATCCAACAAGCTCCACAAACATTCCAGGTTATCCAGTGCAACCATGCATCTAACATGATTGAGAGCAAAAAGTTGAAGAAACCTCAGATTAACTTCATTTTTGTCTGATTCATTATAGATGGAAGAGTCAACGGATTCAACAGCTGTTTCCACAAGTTTAACACCCATCTGTTTCTCTTCTTCTGATAAATGGATAACTGGCCATTCAATGTCAAGATCTTTCTCACACTCAAACTTTTGTACAATAGCATCCGGCAATTTCCTGTAAATAACTAAGTAAATACAACAAATCCAGAACACACATTTGTCAGTAACAGTTAAGCAATTTAGTATATCCGAGAGTGACAGATGATGAGGCTCATCGGACTTTGTTGTATTGTGGAATACTCCATGAATTCTCTGAATGGCTTTCTCAACATTCCCTGACATGCATAAACAATCAACCATCTGCAGAAACATGTCTAAGATGCACGCGCTACTATGTATTCCATCCTTGACAGCAGATTTATCATGACAGAGTGCCAAGACGGCAGCATCAAAGGCAGCCAACCGTTCATCAAGCTGTGTCCGACTGTAAATGTACATCAGCCATAGTACATAAGATCCCTCATTATGCTTGACCTGACAAACAATAGTGAGATTTTCCATTGAAAGATTATATTCAGTTCTCAAAAAAGGAAAACTAACATTCTATTAAAGAAAACAAAATAGGGCAAATTAGGGGCAGAGGAGGAAATAAGTTTTTTCCCTCTTTTTTCTTGAGCACTTGGGGGGGGGGGGAGCATTTTATTGGATTATATTGACACTACAAGGGCAAAGCCAACCCGAAAAAGTGGGGGAAAAAGGCAGAGTGTGAGGAACAGCTTTCACATGTAACATAGTACAAGACAGGAGGGAAAATTCCGTTAAACTACTTCAAGACTAAATTTCAACAATAAGAAAGGGTGGGGTGTATGATATATAGCCAGAGAAACATATAACTGCAAAAGAATTGGAGTGAAATGTGACATAGCACAAGACAGAAAATCACAAACCCAGGTTAGCTGGATGGTTAGATGGTCCCAAATAACTGATCATAGGACATGAGAAGGCGTATATCAAGAAATATGTATCAGCATGGAGAAAAAGAAAACAACCAAAAGTGCCAAACAAGTATGATTTCTGCTGCCAATGACTAATGTCATACAAACGGAAAACATGTACAAATTGTTCAGTGCAGTGTCCATAGTTTACTATTTCTATATAAATAGAGGAGTCTCAACATTCTCAAAAGTTCCTAAATCTCTAGCCACATATAAGTAGAAAACATACCGCATACAGGAACATGTCATCCTTTCCAGTCGGCTTCAAATTTCCATAGTAAATCAGCAGATAAACAAACCAGATAACCACAGATATCGGATCAGTCTCTAAAACTCTAGACAGCACAGATAGAGCCTACAAAATCCATATTTTGAGATGAAGAGGGTGGAAATACAATAATACAATCATATACCAGGTCTCCCAAGGCACAGAGACAACTGTTACCTTTCTTACGCCCTCCAATTTATTGATTTCCTGATTGAGAACAAGAAGTGCCATCTCAACAGCTTGCTCATTAGCAGCAAGAGCCTGTTCATTTTGATTCTATTTACACAATATATAAATAGGTTAGTTTGGCTCGGAGGAACTTAGAAATCAATTCAAACTTTCTTACATAAGTTCATTTCCCAATTATGCCACTCCTGACAGAAGGCTAGGATTAATGTCAAAACTACAACATAGTCCAAAAGAATTCATCTTTGCATAAAATTGGCGAAACTAATTTTCCTATAAACAAGTGTTTTTCTCAGTTGAATGCTTCGTTCACTAGTTGAAATTCCCCAGCACCAAAATCTTAGCAAAACTTTTTGAGTAATTCCATCAAGTCAAGAAATGAAAGTGCTTATCATACTTACAAACTTTCATACGATAAAAAGCAGGATAACTTTTTATTTTATGGCAGGGACAGAAATGATAAGCTTAGGATTAAATCTATTTGAAGAGAATATAACTGAAAATGAACAGATATTGCAATGCATCACAAGAAAGAAGGAAAAAATAGAAGTAACAAACCACAGCTCTTTTCCACTGTAAACAAGATAATTGTTTGTTCCAGGTCCCATGGACTTCAATTCGTTCATCACCACCATGCAAGAACGGACCATCTTCTGGTAAACCATTTTGAAGCAAATCTGAAGTAGCTAAAGTTATACTGAAACACTTCTGCCAGTACTGAGTATTTCTATGCGTTAGGACAGATTTATATGCAAGTTGATCTGCTCTCAAAACATCTAAGCCAACAAGATAAGTTGGCAGAATTGCAGCTTTTTGACTTTTAAAAACTTTAGTTGCACTTTGCTGATGTGATGTTAATCCACCTTGACAATCTGCCCAAAAAAAAAATTACAAGGAAAAGAAACCACGAAGGTATTATCAATTCAATTCTTGATGTCCACCAGTAAAAAGGTTCTAGATGCTGAATATGCATTCCTCACTAAAACATACAGACAAAACATCATATAACTCAAATTAGTCACAACATCATACCATTTTTGGTGTCTGCTAACCCTGTTACAATAAAAATTGAGGACTAAATAGGCACATTCACTGTGCAAAAATCATGTTACTTGTCTATTAACGGGCTCATCATGGAGACTGAAGAATATCAAAGGCAAAATAAAAAGACTGCATGGAGCATTTAAACTATGGGAGATGAAATCGAGACAATGTATTATCTAACACAATAGTTCACCATCAAAGGTATCATCTACTACTTATCCAATCCGTTAGCCTATTTATCTCTGGTTAGCAATACTGTTATCTTGTTCAGCTACCAAGCACATCATATAGAAAACACACTAAAAATCGTCACACATTAACAAAATGTTTAAATACTAAAAAAAGGGGACAAAACACAGGTTTGAAATCACCATTCACCATAAATTTTTCATACCTGCATCATCATTATCAGAGTGCTGGTTCTGATAGTTTCTATCATTATAGTCTTTAACATGCTGCCAAGGACACTCATCATTGTTGCATTTTCCTCGGAGCTCATACATGCAAAGTGGCCAAAATGGATCAACTGCAGGACTGCAGCTATAAGAGCTTTCTTCTGAAGCGAAATTCCAACCAGCAGTAGGCACTGCCA